TATAAAATTTTCATTTATATAGTTATAAAATTATATTTTTATTTATATAATTATTAAATTTCTTTTGAGATATGAACTTTCATTAGCATAATTCTCTCTCTCTCTCTCTCTCTCTCTCTCTCTCTCTCTCTATTATTTGGTACTAGGGATTGAACCCAGGGACTAGCCACATCTCTATCCCCTTATTTTTTTATTTTTAGAAAGGGATTCGCTAAGTTGCTTAGGGCCTTACTAAATTGCCAAGCCTGGCTAGTGATCCTCCTGTTTCAGCCTCCCAAATTTCTGGGATTACAGGCATGTGTTACTGTGACCAGCAAGCCTCTACATTTATAAGGAGGTTTTTATTAATGAATGTATGTTTTCATTTCTCTAGTATAAATGCCCAAGTTCAGTTTCTGGGTCATATGGTAGATGTATTTTTAATTTTAGAAGAAATTGGAAAACTATTTTCCAAAGTGGTTATAAAATTTTTCATTTCCACTAACAATATATGAGTGCTCTAGATTCTTATTTCCTGTTCAGCACTTGGTGTTAACACTTTTTAAAAAACATCATTTTGATAGTTTTGGAAATGTTATCATACTATGGTTTTAACTTTCCTTTACCTTATGACTAATGACTTTGAAAATCTGTTCATGTACTTATCTTCCATTTGTATAGTTTTCTTAGAGAAATGTCTTTCAGGTCTTTTGCTCATTTTCTAAATGAATTGTTTGTTTTTGTTCTTTTAATATTGAACTTTGAGAGTTTTTTTTATATATTCTAAACTCTAGTCAATTGTTGTATACATGGTTTGTAGATATTTTCCAAGTCTTTATCTTGTCTTTTCATCCCCTTATCAGGATATTTCACAGAGAAAGTTTTAAATTCAATGAGACACAATTTGTTGACTTTTCCTTTTATGGATTATACTTTGATTTCAAGCTTTAGACCTCTTTCTTAATTTTTTATCTCAAAGATTTTCTGTATGTTTTTTTCCTAACTTTTTAAAATAGTTTTACAGTTTCCTTTGGTTTATTTTGAGTTAATTTTTTTAAATGAAAAAAAAAAGATTTAGATCCCCCCCACTTTTTTTTTATATAGTCTATTCTCTTGGCCAGGACATTTTATAGCAAAATTATTATAGGTAGGACCCCATGTTAACAGGGTGAAAACTATCTGCAGTATTAACTTCATTTGAAATCTATGAGTCCTGGATTTAGCCAATTAGAATAAGTCCCATTAACTGTAAAGGTCAATCTTAGAATGTCATCTGGGTTTCTCCTGAAGTTTTTGTATTAACCTTTTTTAACCTGACAAGGTAGCAATTCAAACCTATCATAACTGTGTTTAGTGAGTTAAAGCTGACCTGCATGCCTTTTAGGTCCATGGCAGTCCATGATAATCTAAGTGCACACTGAAGGATACAATCCCAGCCAGTTTACTTAGAAACAGTTTTGCAGTTATGTCATCTGTGAGGACCTATGTTAGTCTAACAATGCAAGTTAATAGGGTCCCAGTGTGGCTTCCCACTGTGGGGCGTTTTGTCTGAGGGCTTCCTGTATGGTTCATGCAGTCCAGTTGAGTCCTTGGTTTTAGAAGGACTATCCAAAGGCTGTCAGTTATTATAAATTTTGCTTGTCTACGACATCATTTTATTTGCCTCATGACTGTGAACAAAATCTGGGAGTATTCTGGGCAAGTGTAGGGCTACCCCTGCTGTCTCATAGTCAGCTCTGTTAGGTATGATCTTAGACACAACCATCAGTTTAGAGACCAGACTTCACAGCATCTTGGTGTTCAAGAATAGTCATGAAAAGCACATCATGATGGGCTGAGGCTGTGGGTCAGTGGTAGAGCACTTGCCTAGCATGTGTGAGGCACTGGGTTCGATTCTTAGAACCACATATATATAAAATAAAGGTCCATACATCTAAAAAAATATTAAAAAAGAAAAGCACATCATGAATGCCTTCCTTCCACTGCATGTCCCCAGGCACTGTTTTTTGTTTGTTTGTTTGTTTAGTTTTTCCTATTATTATAAAATCAGTGTGTTTCATTTTGAAATCAATCTTTTACATTTTTTTCTTAATCATTTTTTTATTCTCATCTTGATCTTTTATTAGGATGGGTTGGGTACAAGGGGAACAAAGCAATTTACACACACACACACATATATATCATGTATATATCATATATATATATATAAATATATATAATACACACACACATACATACATACATACATACATACATACACATCATGTTCAGGAGTTTGTTAGAACAAATTCTGAATTTTCAAAAATGTTCAGAATGTGCTTAGAAAACCTCCACATCTTTTTTTTTCTGGTCATTTTATCCAGAAAACTGCCTGGAAAAGATTAATCTCTGTCTGGGGACAGCTGCATTTAATAATCGACTGCCTAACTAAAGAGAGTGAGCAAATTGGTCAGGCTTTCAATCTAATGTTGAAAATTTCAAATAATCTGGAAAACTGAACACAAATTAAAACTCATGAGACAACCCTGAGAAGGAGTCAAGAGACTCATCTATCAGAAGTGATTGGAGTGACCTCACATCCTTGGGATGTGCTCTCCTCCAACTTGAGATAAACACAAATTGAGATAGAATTTTCAAGAATGGATTAGTAGCTGTGATGTTAATGTTATGTGTTAGTGTGGCCATGGGATGTCCAGATTAAATTAAACATCATTTCTGGGTGTGTCTGGGAAGATGATGATGAGGTCATCAGTTGAACTGGTGAACTCAGTAACATGGGTTGCTGTCCCCAGTGTGAGTAAGCATCATCCTACTCTGAGAGCTTGAATTGAACAAATTATTTGCTTCATTGCTTGAGTTGGGACATTTAATCTCATTTTCTCCTGCTATTTGATTTGGATTTACACCATTGGCTCCCCTGGTTGGCATAGCTTTGGATTCAGATTGAGCTATACCAACACCTGTTTTGGTCCCTCAGGTTGCAAGTGGCAGATCTTGGGATTTCTCAAATTCCATAATTGCATGAATCAATTCCTCTTACTCATTCCCTGTCCCTCATATGTGTATGTGTATGTGTATGTGTGTTGGAACTCTCTGACCAGAGAATTTACTTTTCAGTTCAAATAATTCACTTGAATCCTTGCTTTTAGAAGGAATGCCCAAAGGGAATCAATATATTGATTCAGTTTCTCTGGAGAACCCTGACTCCTATTGAGTCTGTTTTTCTGAAAGACTTTGACTAATACAGTATGCCTTTGAAGGTCAGTAGAGGAGAGGTAGGGGAGAAAATGGGAAGGAGGGCAGGAGGGAGAGGGGAAGAACTGGGGAATAAAATCCAAGGGGGAATTATCTTATGTCTTTTTTTAGTAACAAAGACAGCCAACAGCGATGACATACAGTTATAATTTTTCCTGGGTCATTGAGAAGCAGCCTTCCTCCAATTATTATAAAAATATTACAAAACAGCAAGCATGAATCACTTTTAAATCAAGAAGTAAGAGGGGGGATAGTAGGGGATAGGAAAGGTAGCAGAATACAACAGTCACTAATATGCCATTATGTAAAAATGTGAGTATGTAACAGATGTGATTCTGCAATCTGTATTTGGGGTAAAAATGGGAGTTCAAAACCCAATTGAGTCAAATGTATGAAAGATGTTATATCATGAGCTCTGTAATGTTTTGAACAATCAATAAAAAAAGAACAAAAAAAATCAAGAAGTAAAAATTTTGCAAGCCATTTTAGGCTTTGATTATTTTACTTTTTATGTAAGTATAAATTATGGTACCATGCTCTAGGACTAGTACATAGTTATCAAGCTTATCTTTTTTTTTTCAGCTCCAGAAAGTATTTTTATTTGACAAATCACCAAGAATCTCCTTATGAAAATTCAAGATTTCTCCAAAGTCTGTGGAATACTGGCAGAATGGTAGAGAGACTTGCTTCAAACCTGACTGTGCTGCTTAGCAAAAATTTCACCTTAGGCAAGGGATAAACTACTTAAATCTCAAATTCTTCATCTATAAAATGTGACATAAATCTCCCAGTGACAGGTTTTTAATTTTATTTTGGTGCAAAATACTTGTATAGAATGGTGGGTTTCATTGTGGCATATTTGTACATGCATAGAACATAATTTAATCAGTTTACTCCTCAATATCTCCCAATGCTGTTATAAAGAACACAGCATTTGTAAGATATCTACTCCATATGCAACACAGTAGAGGTTCCATAAATTTAATATCCTCCTTACCTTGAAAAAAATGACTGAAAACAGGGATGAAAAGTTCACAGAAGCTTTTTAAAAATAATAGCCCCTACTGGAAATGACCCATGTTACAGCCCTAAATGACCATACATTATTGAGTTTAAAAAATTGTGGGATATTCATGCAATTCATTACTATGCCACATGAAGTACTGTTACTGAAAAAATGTGGACAAATCTCACAGATATAATGTTGGATGACACATAAAAAACAATAATGTACAGTACCACTGAAAGAAAGTTCAAGTATAGGCAGATTAATCTAAGGGAGTGGAAGTCAGGAGTAGTAACCTTTTAAAGGGAATGTGCATTGGAAATGGGACAAAGGGAGCCTGATGGAGAACTGGGAATGTTCTGTCTTAACCTGTGTCATTGTTGGTAATACAGGGTATTCATAGTAAAAATTCACCCAAGTGGTGTACTTCAGATTTGTACATTTTACATGGATATTATTTATATTGGTACACACATGTATATAATACTTCAGTACAAACTGCTTGCTTTGACACAAGAGCTAGATTTCCTGTTAATATGTATTTGATTTATTAGGAGAGTATCCAGATCTAGAAATGGGTTGCCAACAGCTGGCTATCTTGCAAGCTGCTGTCAGTCTGTCCTTTAAATGTGGCCTTATTTCAGTGCTGGCCTGACATATTATGAGAGTCATGCTTCATCATCATTGACAGCTGGAGATGCCATCACATGCCATTGGCAGCAAAGCACAGGGAAAACCAGGCAGTGGACTGTGCTTTCTACCCTTAGGCTGTGAGACACAAGCCCCAGCAATGGGAGGATTAAAAACCTCTCAATTAAAAAAAGGGGGAGGGTAGTGTGGGCTGCACAATTTATAAATAGACATTGCCCAAGGCCGCCTGATGATGAAGTGGTTGTTAGTAAACCTTTCTCCTTTAAAGATGCCATTATCAGAGACCATTTAAAAATACCAGCTTCGTTTTGTCTTTTCGGGGGAGAATCCTGGGTTTCAAGTCAGCCCTGTTAGGTGATATTTCTCTCTGTTAGTCTTAGGAACAGGACTTCAATGTTTTGAATCACCTTTAAATGGAGCACAAAGATGATGATGATGATGATGACGATGTATCTTTTGCCAAATGGATGAGCAGCTTCTGGGGTCACAGCTGGAGAGAGGAGGATGAGAGAGGACCCCGGGAATACCACCGACCACAAGACGCCAGTTACAGGAAAACCTCCCTGCCCTGCCCAGTGAGTTGTTATCATAGAACCAAGGGAGAGGTGGAGTGGGGAGGGGATTTCTCTTAGAGAATTTTTTGAATCTTTATTCATACCACAAAATTCCCTTTTATCATTTCATCTTGTTCTTTAAGTGACCTGATTTTTATCTATTGGTAATGATTTCCTTAATCTTAGTAATCTAAAATATCTTTCACTGCTCTTCAGAGCTCCTATAAGCCTGGCATAATCCCACAGCAAGACAGAATTCAAGGCAAAAAAAAAAAAAAAAAGAAACTTGATGTTATAATTAGTCTGTGTAACACTGTCAATCAATGTGTGATTTCTACTAGTCACTTTGAAATACTGAAAATAATTCCTCTATTTGGTGCCAAGACCTCTGAGGAGTTAGGGATTCCATGTAACAAATCGCTACCATTGATATATGTGATATATTTTTTTTCTAGTGGTTTCCATTTGGTTTTCTGACAAGAACAGGAACCCAAACTCCACAGTCCTCAGCCCTGTTTTCCCAGGGCTAGGCAGAGCACCAGGTGTCTGGTGAATGAAGGGTTAGCAGAAAGCTGTGGTGAGGAAAGTGGGTGGCCTTGCCAGGTGTGGGCTCAAAACAGGTATCAGAGTGTTTCTGTCTGCCTACTGTGGTGCTGGAAGACTCCACAGTAGACATGCATGTCCTCTACTTCACTGTCACACAGCAGTAAAATGGCTTCTCTCTTTCCAAGTCACTTAGAATTTCAGCTCCAGACACTGCTCTCTAACCCCTGTTTCTGCCAAGTCCAAAACCAGAAAGCTTAGGGGTAAATTTACTTGATTTAATTTTTAGTTTTAGGGTTCCAAGATGCATAATGACTGTGAATTATATTAATAGGTGCATGGGAACCTCTGTTAAATGCCATTGGTCAGCAACTTGGAAAATGAGACCTTTTTAAAACCAAATATTTCACAATAGGCCTCTTACCAAATGCATATTAAAGGACAAAGGGCTGTCAGCTCTTCTTGGTGCTTCTGTTTCCTTAAGTGAAGATTTATTTAACAGGGTGCGCTCAGAGAAACCTTTCAGCTTTAACTTTCCCTCATTCTGTTTTAAACAATAGACCTTCATCTACAACTAAACAAATATTAAAAAAAAAAGATAGACCTGCTTATCATGCTCTCATTTAATCTAAATATAATTAATGTTCCACACCTAGCAAGGTGTCCATAATGTATGATAACAGGAGTATGGAGACACTCCAGTTTCTAGATGTGAGAACAGGCATAAGTAAAGGGAAATATTATGATTTACTCTATCACAACAGTGCCTATAGCCACAGGAAAAATGAAAACAAAGGAAAAAATATGGTTTACAAAATATAGTTTTTTGAATAAACTTTAGCACCTCTCAAATTTTAACTTAGATAATACACCCTATTTAGAGAATTCACTTTTAGTTTGCAGTATTATTTGCTTGGGAAATAGCAGATTTTATTTGTATAATGTTTCTGAAGCATCCATTAAATATTATTTATCTGAATCAATAGGTTAAGAGTACCTGAATTAATAGGTTTAGAGCATCTGAGTCAACAATGAATTTTATAATGATCAGTCTAACACACATGCATTTACTTATGGAGACAAAGTATGGAATAAAAATTATAATCTGACTAAATAGAAAAGAGAACATAGAAGCATAAACATAAATAAAAGGATGCGGAGGAGTTATACACCAAGTCCTGGAAAACAGGGAATCTGATTCTTCTTTCCCTATCTACATAATGCTATACATTTGTAAATTGAATCTGTATTGGATACTAACTTTTCATACCTCTAAATGTACTCAAATTTTTCTTATTTTGGAGATCTGAAAAAAATCAGTTTTTCAATTTTTTGAATTTTACTTTGAGCTCAATGAAAATAACTTTAAAAGAGTTACTTTTACCCTTATTTTTCTTCTCTCTCAATTACTCCAATCTAAGGCCATTTCCTTTCTAAATATTAATCTATTGATATTTACCTATTAATATCACATTTATAGGAAACAAAGAGCTTCTCCTTTCTTTCCTGTTTTTCATGTGCTTTCTAATGCATCTTATCAGTCTTATGATTAGTATTAATTCATATAACATATTTATTGAGCCCTCACTATGTGCCAGACACAATCGGATGACAGGGTAAAAGAAGATACCTGATCCCCATGCCTGTGTAAATTTTTGGTCTAGTATAATATACAGATTGGCAGGATGAAGTATAACAAGGAATTAAAGTTTAGTTCTTCTCATAGAACATTGCTTTTTGTCCAAACCCATTATAACCTGTGATTGTTCGTTTAAAGCAAATAAAGAAATCTTGCTTTTTCTGTCCTGTTGTCTTTGGTGGAAAAAAAAAGTGAAATCTCTCTTGGCTATTGAATATATCTGCCTTCCCTGTCCATTATCACAGAAATACAAAACTGAAGTAAAAATTTTCATATCATTTATTTAAATTTAAAGCTGTGAAAGATAATTTTAATGTTTATCCCTGATTGACCTAAGCCAGCTACACACTATCATTTCTACAGCAGTATGTCACCATAGGGGTGGTTCTCTTGCAGTTGTTTGCTATAGGGATGAATTGGGGCTTGGCTCCTTTAAAGGTTTTCTCACAAACCTGGAGAGAAAAGGTATACTATAGCATTTTATAATTGATAGTAAATGGCTTCTTGTATTCCAGATTAGACTTGTATTTAACTTTTTGCTTTTAAAAGACAGAGTCTTCCTATGTTGCCTAGGCTAACCTTGAACTCCTTGGCTCAAGTATTCTTCTCACCTCAGCCTCCTGAGTATCTGGGACTACAGGCATGCACCACTGCACCTGGATATTTGTGTTTAATTTTAACAAAGCACTACCGGAATCCTTAATTAACAATAGGATTTCAGTGATATTTCTCTGGGGGAACTTTTAGCTTAATGTTCTGTGTACTTTTTTTTTTTTTTTTTTTTTTTTTTACAAGGTGCTAATGTGGAGGAGCTATCATAGAACAATGAAGGAGTTAAGAGCAGGACTCTGGAGCTTCCTCCTGCATTTTTCATGTATTAGTACCCTGACTCTGAACAAATTGCTTAACTTCTCTCTGCCTCAAATATACCATATTTAAGTGGAATTGATGATAATAGCAAGCACTTCCTTAGATTGTTGTGAAGATCCAATGAGTAATGTATGTTCAGTGCTTAGGTCAGTGCCTGCTACCTAGAAGGTACCTATTATTATTATTAGTCAGTGATGTTTAAATTTGGAAAGTTTTTTTTTCTAGATGCTTTTAGTTAATTACTGCCAAAAGTTCTAGAGTTTTTAATTTCACCTTTCCCTTATTATTGTTTTTATAATATTTTTTTTAATTTTAATTGACCTAATAATTGTACCATTTGGGAGTATAGTTCAGTGGTAGAGTATATCAACATGTATGAGGTCCTGGGTTCAATTTGTAGCACCATGAAGAAAAATTTGTATGAATTTATGGAGTAGAGTGTGATATTTTAATACATGTATACAATGTATGATGAACATATAAGATTAATTGGCATACACAGTCCCTCAAACATTTATAATTTCATTGTGTTAGGAACATTAAAGATCCTCTCTACCAGCTATTTTGAAATATACAATTAAATGTTGTCAAAAATAGTTACCCTACTGTGCTACTGAAACACTCTTAAGTTACTCCTCCTATCCAACCTCATGGCCTTAACTGTCTTTAATGTTTCTCATATTACAATGGGAAGATAATTGGTGATTTTCTACTGAAGGCTGCCATTTGGTACATGTTGAAGCTTAATCCTCAATGGATGGTATTAGAGATGGGGCCTTTGGGAGATAATTAAGGTTAAATGAAATTATGAGGGTTGGGTCCTGATCTGATGGGATTGGTGGTCTTGTAAGAAGAAGCACCAGAGAGCTAGGACCAGAGAGCTGGCTGGATGGCTTGTTTACTTCCTCCTTATTTTTGTCTCAATGCACCCATGGCTTGCCATCCTCCCAGACTCATACCTGGTCACTTTTTCATTTTGTACCTCATTTTGCACCACCTCACCCTTTCAATGGCATTGCCTCCCTGGTCTTTAGTCAGTGCGTCCACCCTACTGCACAGCACAGGCACTAACATGGGCAGTCCTCCCTGCTGCAGCTTTATGTACCATCACCCCCTCACCTTTTTAATCTCTATGAAAATTGTGGATCCAAGACAAAGTTCCTCTGTCACACCTGGACAAAATTCAGAGCTGGGAAAGCTGGGAGCTCATGCTCGATCAGCCTGTCTGAGATAAGAACTGTTAACTATTTCAAGGACTTCTTCAGAAAAAAAAAAAAAAACCAGAAAACCTCCATACACAACATGCTTGACATAGCTCACACACAGACACATATTTCTATAACAGAGTTTATCTTTAACATTCTCTAAGACAACAATTCAGACAAGATACTTTCCCCGCAATGGCACCTCTACCAATAAGACTTCAGCTCCTGCCACTGGTCTAGAAAGAAGACCAATAGACTTTGTATCTGAGCAGCTTATATGATTTTTTCCCTTTTTGCCAGTAAAATATTTTCTTACCTTTTCCTCTTTGGTTACACCTTTGGCTTGCCATGCTGTGCATTCCAGATTAAAAGCCTTTTACTCATTCCTGAATGTATAACTTTTTTATACTTGGAGAAGGAAGGAGTAAACAACAATGTTTAAATCACTGTAGCAAAAAGATCAAAGGGAAAACCAGAGGGTGCGGTGATAGAAAGCAAGGAAAAAGTGTTTCTAGCGACCCCTGCAGGCAACTAAGTTGAACACCAGTCAATAATTAAGATAAAGACCAAAATGTGCACAGCATTTGGCAATTTGAAGACCAATATCTTGGTGCAAAAGTTACATAGGAACTTTCAATGCTCTGCTGCTTTTCCAATTGTGATTTTAACATTGTTGTTATTGTGTTATTTTATCTCTATGTCTGTATGTAAATGAGATGTACTTACGTGCAAGATATTTATTAAACAATAATATGTAGCCATTGTTTTTTAGTTTCTGTCTAAAGCTTAATTTTATATTGTTTTTGGTGCACATTAGCTTTTTAATATAAATTATATTTTTTATGACTATCCCATTATACTTTTACTTAGAAATTACATAAATATTAATCTTTAAGCTATTTCTCAAATGTTTATGGTTTAACTAGAAATGTTTAAAAATCATTGGTAGAGTAGCAAGCAATTAAACTGGTCCTTGGATGTTCTATTTAATATTTTAATGAATGGATTCTGCTCCTTCATTGTAGAGAAAAATCTTTTTTTCTGAAACTCTTTTTTTATTATTAGTTGTTCAAAACATTACAAAGCTCTTGACATATCATATACATTTGATTCAAGTGGGTTATGAACTCCCATTTATACCCCGTATACAGATTGCAGAATCACATCAGTTACATATCTACGTTTTTACATACTGCCATACTAGTGTCTGTTGTATTCTGCTGCCTTTCCTATCCTCTCTACCCCACTTCCCTCCCTCTTCTCTCTCTACCCCATCTACTGTAATTCATTTCTCTCTCTTGTTTTTTTCCCTTTCCCCTCACTTCCTCTTATATGTAATTTTGTATAACAGTGAGGGTCTCCTTCTATTTCCATGCAATTTTCCTTCTCTCTCCCTTTCCCTCCCACTTCTCATCCCTGTTTAATGGTAATCTTCTTCTCATGCTCTTCCTCCCTGCTCTGTTCTTAGTTGCCCTCCTTATATCAAAGAAGACATTTGGCATTTGTTTTTTAGGGATTGGCTAGTTTCACTTAGCATAATCTGCTCTAATGCCATCTAATGCGATCAAGAAGATAAAATTTCAGTTAAGTATTAGAAATGTTTATTAGTAGTTTATGGGCATCTTGTGTCTGTGCTAATATTGTACATTCTCTTTATGTTACAAAAATTTTAATTTTATATCCCCAGTTTCCTATGCTTCCTAGAATGACATCATGTGACCACCAACCTCGAAGGCATTCTCATGAAGATCAGGAATTCCGAAACTGTGCTCACATGCGATATTACAGGAAATCCTCAGTGGATGGATCACTCAAGGAGTCACTGGAATCAAAAGGAAGCTCTCATTCCAAAATTCAGGAGTTTTCAGAGTCCTTTGAACAGCAACTGTGCTTTAAAACCAAACACTCTGTCTCTCTGGTATGTAACTGAGCTAGTACACATTTAAACCCCTTGGGAAAGAAAACCGAGAGGTTTTGTCATCCTCAAGTTTGAGGAGCACAAATTTAACTTCTCCATTTACAGCTTGGTAATAAGATCAATGAAAACAACACTGAGTTTATTACAACTAATCTAAAATTAAATATTTTATTTTATGACAATTTTAAGGAGCATATTATAAAATTTTTGTAATGTAAAATTAAAAATTCAAAACATAAATTCTTTTAAAAATTTTCCACTGTAACAATCTACACACTTTTCTAAAGCTAGCTACAATAAACAGTGGAGTTTGTCAGCAAATTTTAAAATGTATATAAAGTATTCCCTAAGGTATTCTCTCTAGCATCCCACATAAAGGATACCAAAATTTATGAATGTTAAAGTTCCTTATGCAACATGGAGTATTATTTGCAAATAATCTCTGTATTCTTTACATTCATATATTTTACATTTTCCCATTTACTTTTAAATTATCTCTAATTTTCTTATAATACTTTATACAATGTAAACAATAGATAAATAGTTATTATAGTATATTGATTAGGGAACAATGACAAGAAAAAGAAGGTGTATATTATATATTCAGTACAGACACCGTTTTGTTTCCTGGTTATTTTTCATCCTCAGTTGGTTGAATCCACAGATATTAGCCCCACAGGTAGGGAAGATTGGCTATATCATTTTTTGTTTGGGGACCAAATGAATACTAATGTGTTGGTTTAAATTTCACATATTTGAACATTGAAAGAGCCAGAAACTGCTTTTGTGGCCTAATCATGACAAACAATATTAATACTTTCACCTCAGTATTTAGAAATTCAATTGACTTATTTTTCTTACTTTTCTGATTTTCTAAGTGATGAAATGAGGAAGTAAATTTCAAATCATTATTAATAAGTATATCTTGCATAGTGTTTATTCTTAATAAGGTAAAGACCAAATTTGAAACAATATTCACTATACTGTTTTTGTGCTGTTCTAACCAGCATTAGAAACATTTATAATTGCTAAACATGAATTTTGATCAGATAAATACAAGTGATGGGTCTATGAAAATCATCTGGCACCACATGTACAGAACTAGTACAGTTTTTATTTAAAGTTTCTTTTAACTTCTATCTAAGCATCTTTGTTTTGCTTTCTGACTTCAATCAATGAATGTTTATGGATGGAATGAGACAATCTAGGTATAAGAAACAGTTTACACCATGGAGTAGCAGACAATATTGTGGTAATAAGACACCTCCACAATGTTCAGCTTGTAGGGCTGAGTTCTGCCACATGACCACCACTCATCACTGGATCCCTAATGTTTACAGTTCAAATAAGGGGGAAGAGAAGGGATTTTTTCTGTTTATTTTTTTAAAAATAGAAGCATACATAGTTACCATTACCATGTTTATGCATGTTATTTTTGCACAGTAATTCCTTTCAAAGAAACTCCCTGACCATCAACACTGAAGAATCTCCCCTTCTTGGGGCTGGGGTTGTAGCTCAGTGGTAAAGCACTTGTCTAGCACATGTTGGGCACTGGGTTCAATCCTCAGCACCACATAAAAATAATGAAGAAAATGTATTGTGTCTATCTACAACTAAAACTTTTTAAAAAAAGAATCTCCCCTTCTTCATAGTTCCCTACTATATATCACCGCCACCTGTTGTAGTTACAATTTTATTTATCATCATTGTTTACTTCCTTTTAGCCTTATTTACTGATGGTCTATCTCCCCCCACTCCCCCAGGTGGAATATCTAGAAGGTAAAATCTCTTCATTTAGTACTTCATCTCCTAATCTTACAACAACACTGTGTGTTCAATAAATCAGTGAATAAATGTGGACCACCCACCCCCGGCCTCCAACTATCCCACTTGGGCAACTTACTGGGGAATGCTAACATGGTTGGAAGTTATTTCTCAACACTTCATTTTTTCACACAGTTCTCACATTAAAATTTAGTGCAAACTCTAATATTAACATAATATAAGGTAATGAAGTTAGAATCATTCCATATGTGATCTTGTTTTCCTTATCAAAAAACGCCAGGAGACTTAATTTCACTGTACTGTACATACTTTAGCTTTGGTATGTGAGAGCACAAGAGTCATGGTCATGTGCAGGTTGGCATTCTTCTCAGACCAGCAGTGATGCCCAGGACCCTGTATTCCTTCTCTTTATGACTAAAACCTTTGGCAATATGATGATTTGGGGTTATGCTGATTTGTTACTAGAAACTAAGAACTGGACATTGGCTACAGGGCAGGGCTTTCCTCATGTCTGGTGGTTGGGAGCAATGGGAGGCACAGAGCTTCTGGTGCATCTCTCCCCTTTCCTGACCCTTCTCTTTCAGGGACCTGAGAGCAGAAAGGAAAGAAATGAGAGAGAATGTCTGAGGATGGAGGTAAGATCCCGCAAGAAGGTGGAAGAAAGAAGGAGCTCAGCCAAGGAAGAACCCCGAGAGGTATCCATGGCCTCCCTGGTTGAAAAAGGGCCGGAATAGTTCTTTATTTTTATGTTGTGATGACAGGCACCACTGGTCGTTTTGGGCCCAGTTCACCATTCCAGGAGGGCAGGATGGCAGCTGCAAAAGGGCATCCCAGATGCTGAGTGACAGAGGTGGGCGGTTGGAATGGGGCTCTTCAAGATGACTTGCGTCACCCTCCAACTGCTTCTGGCATCTTGCTGGAGTGTAATCTGCTTTTTTGCCTTTTCATGGGAATAAAAGAATAAAAGGTATTTTAATAGAGTAAAGTAATTTCTGAAAATGCAAACGAAGATTTTTAAAGAGCTACCCACGCATCTTCACCAACTCTTCTTCCATGACAACCTTGCAATTCATCTTAAATAAAAGTCATTGGTGTGACTCTTTAGATTTACTTCCTTTTAGAAGTAATTATGTAAGCATGTCTAATGGCCATCATTTAACAGAACTGGTAATTACCATGCAAAGTATTATCCTGAATGCTTTAATATATTACCTATAATAATCCTTTCTACCCTGAAGTAGAACCTTGTTTTATTCAGGGTTCTGCAGAGAGGCAAGACCCAAAGGATACACAGAGTGAACTATGTGAGACAGATATATTTGGGGAATTGGCTCACATGATTATAGAGGCTGAGAAATGTCATGATGGACTGTCTGTAAGCCAGAGAACTAAGGAAGTCAGTAGTGTGGCTCAGGCCAAGTCCAAAGGCCTCAGAACTAAAGAAGCTGCTGGTCTAACTTCTTACTCCAAGACCAAAAGGCATGAGAATCTGTGGCTGCTGAAGACAGTGCAGGTGTAGGTCTTTGAGTTCAAAGACTGGTGAACATGGAGTTTTGATGTCCAAGGGCTTGAGAAGAGAACTGTCCCAGTGAGATAGGGGGAGGGAGGGAGAAGAGGATATTTGCCTTTTTGTTCATCTGAGCCTCAAACAATTGGATGGTGTCCACTCAGATTGAGTGAGGGTAGATCCTCCCCACTTTCAGTGGCTCAAATGCCAATGTCTTTCAGAAACACCTGCATGGATACTCCCAGAAGTAATGCTTTGCTCAGATTTGAGTATTCTTCAATTCAGTCAATTTGACACTAAATATTAACTATCACAGATACATTTTCTCTTTACTTTCTGCTTGAGGAAATTGCAGTATAGAAAAGTTCTGTAGCTTCCAGTTATGTTGGCAAGGTGAGGGCCTGAGTGATTCATTTACTTTGATGGCAGAACTCATGCTCCTCACACAGGACCTCCATTTCTCTTTAGAAGTGGGTCTGACTTAGTGTGTAATGTGCCTGTGAATGATGAGATCTTAGTGAGTATGTTACAATTTTGAATACATGGGTGAAGACTGAGTACTTGAGGTCAGCTTTATACTCTAGATTTTAACTTTTTAAGACTATATTCTGCCAGGGTCCTGCCCCGGCAGGGTCCAGGGAGTCCTGAAGGATGAGTGACGTCGGCGAAAAGATGAGACAGGAGTCGTTCCATTTGAGAAATCTTCAGAGAGAGAGCTCAAGCTGCTTTCTCTGGGTCCCCCTTTTATTATAATTTTTCTCATCATTATAAATTCACAATACGTCATTAATTATATAATTTAAAACTTTGCCAAGACATGACATTTCCTTAACCATGATTGAGGGCACACCAATCTACATCCTTCCAGGATATGACCCCCAGCCATA